TATAATATAATATAATATAATATAATATAATATAATATAATATATAATCTTTCACTGTTTTATCTATAATGCTTAGTCTTGGCACGAAAATAATCCAATTTCAATTTTAACCACTTTATAAATAATTTTTATAACTTAAGGATTAAGGGATGTTGCCACGTAAGAAGTAGGATAATTAACCTCAATAAAAATTATTTGTAACGTTTAAATTAATGAATTATTATCATATACAATTTCAGATCACGTCGCAGCCCGATGGGATGGTTTACCGCTTGCATCGCAGACAGCGCTTTTAGATGCGGAAGATGGTGGGACAGCCGTTACGGAAACGATAAAGGAAGAAGAAATACAAGAATCCAAATCTTGTTCACAACGTTCTATAAAGGCAAGCTTATATATTGAGAACAAACGCAATACAAGAATTATATAATATAAATATAAACCAATAAATATCACACAGAAGTTATTCTTCTTTTTTTATAATTGGTTCTGGCGCTGAATCGTATTCTGGCATTCCCGCTGCAACTCATCCCGCGCTCAGTTCTGTTGTGCTGATCTCCGCTGCTTCGTCTTCGTCGAATCCATGGCACTCATCGAATGAGATGCTTTCGAGCGTTTTCTTGAGCACTATCAACTGAATATATGCCTCAACGTGATCAGATACACTAATTTCCTTCGCTTAACGTTCATGGAAGTTCGTGGAAGTTCGTTACTCTGTGTAACATATTTACCCGCCATTTGGTTTACCGCTCCAAGTATAAGCGGGTCAACTTTCTCCGATATTATTTCCCGCGTCCACTTTGTCCGGTCTATCTCATCTCCCTGTGTTCCTTGTATCAATACTAGATATTTCTGCTTTACATTTAGATAAATCTTAGGCTCGTGTAGCGTGTTTTGCTCAAATTACGTATTTTGTGCTTTAACACGTTTCGTTGACTACTCCAAATACCATTTTTGTGAGCACGGACGACCTGCAGTGCTGGTGATTGCATTCGCTTGTTTCTTCAGTTCTTGAAAACTAATCGCACACCCGAACTTCTCGCAGTACAGGAAACTACACAAAGCCATTTCCTTCGGCATTCTCCTGAAACGATCAAAAACTACCGTCAACACTTCACTTAGCCAGCTTCTTTGCGGAACCTCGATTCCTCGAATGATAACTTTGTGTAACCATCCTACTGGTTCTTGGCAGAGTGCTCTCTTACATCTTTCACAAAGCTCTTCACAACTTCATCTGTTTTCCATTGTTTTCTATTATGATTCCAGATGCAGTTTCTCCGTTCATTCTCCATTTCCTTCTCAGACTTCTGATGTCCTGACTGTACGCCCACACAGCTTTCTTCCTCTTGGTTCCGAATTCTTTTTGCAACAGTCTTTTCTTCCGCTTTATTCATGCTATGCGTGTCATTCTTTACTTTCTTCCCTCGTCTCGTCTTCGTTCCTTCAGAAGTACTGCAACAAGGGATTGCATGAGCATTATCGTTATAGTCTGTTACCTTGTTTCGCTCCCTACAACTCGCCTGTGATGTGGGAAGTTCTTCAGAAACTCATCTCAAGCAATTAGATAACTAATCTAACTAAATGCTGGAATGTTCTTTCATATTACTACCATTTCCACGTTCTGATGTCACTGAATGTCAATAACATTAAGTCTGCTGTTGCAACTGATCGCACTGGTATTTCCTCCATTCACTCCCATCGTCGCATTATGACATCGACATAACAAACAAAAGTTAAACAGAGAAAACAATAGCAACCAGAAATTACGAGAAAATGTTGCGTTTCATCGAAGATTAGGCATAATCTTTCATCAACAATAACCTCTAACTTGGGTTATATATAAATCATCTGCGACAGGTCGGAGGTTAATCTTCTTTTCTGTCCTCTTGATTCTCGCGTTGGATCGTTTCAAGACACTCTTGCTGGCAATCTCTGTTCTGCTGGTTCCGATACACTGGTCGAGTGTTTCCTCATGACCTGCACGGAGCTTTCTTCAACAGCCTCACCTGTGTTGCATTTGTTTTCATTTATGATTCCAGGCTCGGTTTTTTTTCGTTTCCCCTCCATTCCCTGTTTTATTGCTTTGTGATGCGAGCGATCGGCTAGCTGGCAGCTCGGCAGAACCGAGCAATATTATATTAAAATAATGAAAATATTAATATATATTAATCATATTATTATTTTTTACTGTATATATATATTGATGTTCTCAATTATATATATAATTGAGAAGATATATTTAGTTGATATATAATTAGATATATCTTTTAGAATACCTTCAAGAACTCAATAACAGATA